TTTTCATGATTTAGATCAAAAGAAAGTTTTTTATGTGTAATTCTCTATGGTTTGTATGGAATAGTTACAACTGGATTTTATGAAATTCTACCTGTATTTTTAGCAACTTCTGAGGAATATGGTAAAAAAAAAATTCTTTTCAAATCTATTTATTTACATAATAAGTATTTTTTTTAAAAAAAAACATTTTTCAATCTGGAGTGCAGAGACCCAGTATTCCATAAAATTAATAAGAGTTCACTTTTTTTACAAATCTTTACAAATCTGTTTATATGAACATATTATCCAACGCCTATTACTATTATTACTTTACATTTTATCAATTTTATAAATGAGTTTAATCTGTGATTAATAACAATAATTGTATATTAAATTATTATTATTACTATTATTATTTTTATTAAGTCTTTAAAAACTTACTTCTTTATTAATATTTTTTTATTAGGAGTACTTACTAGCGTGCTTTGTTTTTTAATTAAAAAATCTTAATTTCAAAAAAATTTATATATAAACAAATAATTTGTTGAAAACAATTTATAAGTTTGCAAATAAGAAAAATCCAATTATAATTTGCAATGGTCTTTATTCAAGTCTTGACAGTGTATAGATGAAGAAACGTAGACAGCCGCACATACATACATGAAGTAACAACATTCATATGATCTGTTCTGTATTACTATGAGTTGCACTACAATTTTCAATTGGTTTTTAATTGATTGATTTATAATGCTTTATTTATTTCAATTACAAATTAATTATTATAATAAATTTTTTTTTAACGATTTTTTTGTAATTTTAGGAGGAAATGCAATGACGGTATTTGATATTGGCAGTTTCATATTAATCTCTAGTATTTTTATTATAATAACACAGCTTGCTACTTCAAAGGTTTGTTAAGTTTATAATTTTAATTAAAATTTTTTATTTTGTGCTAAAACACAGCTGTGAAAGCAAATGTAGGGTGAGGTTTTATAAAAGGTTTTCTGAAAAATTATCTTACAAAAAAAATGTAATGTCTAAATTGAGGCTATTAATAGAAAGAATTATCATAAAAAGAGTACAAAAGCAAAATAAAAAAGCAAAATAAAAGCTTAAAAAACAGCAGTTAAGGTCTTTAGTTAAGAATTGATTAACAAATCAAATACAAATATCAAACTTTTAAAAAAAATTGAATAACCTATTTTCCAAAATCTTTCATCAGATAAACAAGTTATTTTTCTAGATTTATCTCGGACAATTTTCATGAAGCTTTTTGGCAGAGTTAAAAATTAAACTACAAAAGTTCTCTCACATTAATTTTTGGAGGACTTTTAATATGTATATTTATAGCTTTATAAATATATTTTTTAAATATACTTATTATGCTAAAACTAGATCTATAAATAAAGATTTTTGATATGGACCTTGAAGTAATTTTAAAAAATTAGTAATTTTTAAAATAAAGATTTTTAAAAGAGTAAAAATAATTTGACTAAACAATGATAAAAACCGATGATAAAAAGTTGATTTCCTTTAATTTAAATGTTCGTTAATGCTCAACTCCTAAAGTCTTTTAGGCTTTTAAAATCTTTTCTTTGCTTTCTGTTAACTTCCAACATAAATTTTAATTGTTAGCAGTCTTGTTAGGAGTGAATTTATTTTTAAAAAATTTTTAATTATTGTTATCTTTACATATTATTGTATTTAATTATTCTTTTTTTTTTAATTAAATTTTTTTTATTATTCAAGTTTCTTTTTTTAGATTCAATTTTGGTTTGGAGCCAAAAAGGTTTGTCTTATTTTCTGTTGTTGTTATTCTGATACTAACAACCATACCATGTTGGGTGATTATATATTTTGAAGAGAAGTTTTTCCATATTAGATATATAATTAGTCTGAATTAGTTTTTCATTTTTATCCTGTTGAAGATAAAAACCAACTAGGCTCTGAAAAATACTTTTATTTTCATTTAGGCATTTATTGGAGGAATCTTTATTTTTATTTGTATGGTCCCATTACTACCTGTTTCTGGATTAATTAAAAAAGGGTATGTATAGTTTTAAGTATATAAGTTTTAAGAACATAAAGATAAATGCTTTGACTAATTTATTACTCCTCTATTCTTTAAGAAGAATAGAGCATATTGAGCACTCTATTTAAAAATCACTCTAATAAAAGTTACATTGCACATATATATATATATATATATATATATATATACATATATATATATATATATATATATATATATATATATATTATATATATATATATATATATATATATATATATATATATATATATATATATATATATATATATATGCTTTTAATAATTAAAATAAATATTTTATTTGAAATAGTACATCTCGATGGATCTTTCTAATGTTTGTCCAAGTTTCTATAAATGCAGTAATTAGTGTATGTTTCGTTTGCCTTAATGTGTTTTTGGGTAACAGCGTTGAACCTGACCTTTTGGGAACAATCAATGGCTTGGGAATGTCTGTGTCATGTATCGGAAGGTAGTTAATTTTTTTAAACAATTTTTAATGTAGAAAGAAAAGGTAGGTAGTGTTGGAAAGAAGTTTTATTACACGAATACATATTGTTTAAAGTTGCTGTTTTTAAAAATAAAAATCTTTTATAAACTAAAAGTATTTACAAAATTATAATTGGGGAATTCCATATTAGTGCGTCAATTTTTATTTGTTTTTTTTTTTGTAATTAGAAGCTGGAATTCGAAACAATATAAATACATATCATTTTTATTTAAATAACAATACAAATACAACTTTTATAATATATATTTTATAGGTAGATATAAAATACAACTTTTACATATATATTTTATATGTATGTATATATATACATATATGCATATATATATATATATATATATATATATATATATATATATATATATATACATATATATATATATATATATATATATTACAATTAGAATTACAGTGGCGTGCGTTCTAATGACTCCATGGAAATAAAATTTTAAAAGTTTTGAAAGTATAACATGACGTATGCTTGACGTAAACCAACTAGGATTAATCTTCGGTATCAAATGAGGAAATAAGGAACTTATTTTTGTGCCTACATTTTGAGATTATTTCACTCCTTGTATTAAGTAGGTTATCTCCTTTATACATCCAAATTTAAAACTTTTTTTTCAAACAGTGGTTGCAAACTCTTGATGCTGGTTGTACAGTTTGCATTGTTTAACATTCTTCCATCTGACAAAAGGCATAAAGTTTTTTTCTTTTAATTTTCATACTTCTTTTGATAACTCTGTGTCATTCTTATATCTAATTGCATTAAACGATTTTAAGTGGTTTGCATACCAAACTTCAAAATATGTTTTGCTGAGTTCAAAATACACTTTTTCTTTATATTCCGGATTGTTTGAATAGATGGTGGCCTGATAAACAATGTTGTTGGAATGGCAATCGTTGTTCATTGGGTATTTTAATTTGTCAATGCAGTTGCATTTCATTTCATTAGTTTTTGTCTCCTTATGAAAAATGCTTATATTGTGTTTTATTTTTATTGTGATAATGGATTTTATATTTGGCATGCAGGCATAACTTATTTTGATTGTGTTTCTATGAAATATTTTACAAAGTCTGTGGTTATCTGGAAAGTGGTGGTTGATGAGGTTCAAAAAACATTTACTTGTTTTTTTTACAACATTTGCACTGAAAGGAGAACTATACCAAATTATCTTGTGTTTATGATTACCGTTTGTTGATTTTATGCTTGGATGGCATGCAAATTGGCAATTGTACCCTGATTTTATATATATATATATATATATATATATATATAAAATATATATTACTATTATTATTATTATTATTATTATTATAATATATATATATATATATATATATATATATATATATATATATATATATATATATATATATATTTCGTTTGATGTAGTGTTTCATTAAAATAATATATATATTTATACTTTTAGTAATTGTTGTTTATGTGCCACCAGCGGACTGAATAATTTTATCAATAAATTGCCAGAGTAATGATAATGATAATGTAGAAAAATGATTAAGCCCGGCTTATTTTGGTGGATTTTCTACAGTTTTGTTAATCTTCTGTTCAGCATGCTCAGATTGACTTCAATCTTGTTTTTTCAGCTGTCAGTGTTGCCTGTAATAAGGAGAATTTAGTTTTAAATTGTGAGTCAACCAGCCTCGTCAGTATATAAAGAGGTTTCTCTTTTCAATGCTTTTAAAACGCTCATCCAATCACTTGATCAGGGTTGACATCATAGTCTTTATACCTGCATCATTGTAGAATATCGTGTGTCTTCCCTTCAGAATTTTTTGTTGCGTTGTTGTTTGAAATTAGACTAAGCTTATTAAATTATAAAGAAATATAAATACAAATACCAAAACAAATATGAGGTTCATAAAATATAGAATTACAAAAAAAATTGATTTTTATAAATAAAATATTAGGTATACATGTAAACACGGGCAAAAAAAATGTAATAAATATTTGACAAAATTCAAAACTCCGGCTAAAATTATGCCGGATTTGCTAAATTTTTGCCGGAGCCGGATTTGGGCCGGATTTGTAAAAATGGCCGGATTTCGGCCGTAGCAGGAGCCGGAGCCGAAATCTGGTACAGCCCTAATAATTAGCGAATCAAACGAGAAAGAACGAGAAAGTTTTTATTGATGGAACTAAAAATAACTCCTTTGAGCAGCAATCATGATAGTATTTGTAGAAAAGAGAAAGAGTTTACTCATTTTCTACGAATACTATCATGGTCACTCTTTCTCTTTTGTCTATCTATGTTTACAATATGTTTTTGGACCTTGTCTATCGGGTGTACACGGAAAAATCTGGTCAACTTTAAATTGAGATTTCTATAAAACCATAAATGCTTTTTATTTCAATTTTTTTATTAATAAATGTGTTTACATAAAACAGAGTTTTGACTTAATTTTAAGGAATTTGATGGGCTGTTTGGCAAGAGATCAAATTTTATAGCTGGTTGATGCCATCATTTCGCAGACTTCTTTCTTTTTTCACCTTATTGGTGGTATTAATCCACTTTTTTTGGATTAGTCCTTTTTATTATTTGTTACTCGACCTGTCTTACAAAGAACTCCATTAGCTATTGCTCGAAAATCTTCAATCTTGTGCTCTTCAGAAAGATTTAGAGGATTCACATCTTTAGGAACAATTTTCACATTTGCACCACTGTAGAACTTTTTTAGAATAGTGATAGGCAACAAGATTGGGCCAAAAGAGACATCGGTATTTGTGTTTTTTTATAAAAGGCAAAAGTCTTTTTTGGAGGCATTCTTTGATGTAGAGATTGGCAGTCAAGGTCTTCTTAGTGACAAAACAAGAGGACTGCATACCACAACTACAAATTGCTTGCCACACAAGGAACTTGGATGCAAATTTTTCTCGTCGAATATATATAAATTGGTTATTGACAGATTTATCTTTGTTCTCATAGTAAAATTGTTGACCAGGAAGTTGTGAAAAATCTGCCTTGCAATATGTTTCATCGTCTTCAATTATTCACATACCTATATCCACCATAAATTTAACCAACTTCTTTGTGCATCAAATTCCTTTAATTTCACTATTTAAGCTTCTCTTAGGTGTATTTTTTTTATGAAATGCTTTAATTCCAGCATTTTTAAGTACTTTTTTGATATCAGAACAAGAAGTTTTGAATTTTCTTGCTAGATCTTGCTGCGACTGGTTTGGATTTCTTGCTATTGAACATAAAATTGACTTTACCAATTTGATTTTATGGAAAGTTTTCTTTCTTCCACTTCCAAGTTTTCTTTCGAAGCTTTGAGTAATTTTGAACCAATATATAACATCTATGACTGTAGATTTTGGGACATTTGTGCGTTTAGCAATCAAGCGATATGAAGTTGATTGATTTTTGCAAAAAAATTCATTACTTTTTTCCGCACCTCAATTTGTTTCCGAAATATTTTGCAAATCATTAATTTGTAAACAAAAGTTTATCAACACCATTAAAGATAAAGAAGTAACTTTTAATTTAAAAAAAATTGAAATAAACCATTTGAGGTTTTAGAGAAATCTCAATTTAAAGTTGTCCACCCAATAGAAAAGAAAGAGTATCATTAGAAGAACAGCCCAAATATGATTAAAGTATTGCATACAGTGACAAAGAGATTTGTAGAGGTTGAGAATGGAGTCAGGAGTAAGATAATGGTAAACATGATAAAGAGAGTCAACCTTAGCGGATGCTTATTTAGCAATTAAATGTATGTATGGTTTCCATGAAAGGTCAGTAGTTAATGATAGTCCAAGAAGACATAAAGAAGAGGTCTCAGTAAGAGGGTTGGCATTCATTAATAGAGGAATGTGGACCATATTGTGATATTTGTTTGCAGTAAATAACTGAGTTTTTTGGAGTTAAAATTCAAAAGCCACTGCAAGCTCTAATCTGTTACAGAAGTTAGTTCAGATTTAAGATCAGCTGCCTGTTCTAAGTGATCAAAAAGAGAGGATTTTTTGTCAAGTCAGGAGTATAAAGTTTAGTCATTATTAAATAGAGCCACTTAGATGAAATGTTGTCAGGATGATCATTAATGTAGATAATAGGCAAAACAGGACCAAGCATTAAACCTTGAGGTACCCCAGAAGTTAATGAAAATGAAGATGAGTGTTACCCTTTGAGAATGACTTTTATAAAGCAGTTAGAAAAAAATAATTTGATCATCTCAAAAGCTTTCCCAGATGCACCATATGAAATAAACTTATGGAGAAGTCCAGCATGCCAAACTTTGTAGAAAGCTTTAGATTTTCAAGAGCAATAGCCATAGGCTTGCCACCTCCATCTTATGCACGATAAAATCTTTTAGTCACTGCAGTTGCAAGTCAGCCATAAAGCAAGAGGATTGAAAATCTTATTGATTATCTGACAATTGTTTGACGAAGATTGGATGTTAGAAATTTATTAATCAAAGACTCAAAGACCTTGCTAATAAAAGATAGAAAACTGATCAGATAATAGTTGAAGAGGTCAGAAGTTTTTAAAAATTGGAACCACAGATGTAATTTTCCAGCAGGTAGAAAAACAAAATTCAGTCAAGCATTTAATAAATAGTTTAAAGAAAATTGAAGAAAGATCTGGAGAATACTTTTATAAGACAGAAATTCTTATGATTACAGAAAATCTGGACCACAAGTCGTAGAAGTTTGATATTTTACTTTAGGATCGCAAATAATGATGTCACGATCTGCATATAATTTTTTTAAATGTTACGCAAATCAAATAAAAATCTAATCAAATATATTTTGAATAATGTTGTTATATATATCAAAGATATTTACAAATAGTAATTTGTACTTATATAAAGTAAACACCTGTCAGACTTAATAAAAATAAGGTTGAGATATTAATAATAACTATAATACAAGTAGGAATAATAAAGTAATAGTAGTGATTATAGTAACAAAAAAAATAATAGTTGCGATTATAAAAAGT